GTCTGCTTCGGTGCGCGGGGAGACCAGTTTGGTCGTTTTTCCTACCATCGAAACATCTTCGTGAGCTCGTTCATGCTCGTGCACCGCTCGGGAAAGGTGTCGTCCAATAGTCGCAATTACAATTACTGGGGAGGAACTTCCGGTGGTCTAGATCTACAGCTTGGCGTCCTTTTGACCGATCAGAGCAATAAATTACTGGCTCCACAGTCGTCGATCGTCTCCAAGTAAGGATGGTACAAACTGGCAGGTTACAGCGGTTCGTCCACAGTCCTTCTGTTCTGTGTCTCAAAGAAGCCTCAGTGCGTCTTTGCCAACAGTGAGTTGCGTCTGTGGTATGGAGAGGATTTGCGCGGCCCTGCAAGCGAAAGTGATAATCGTGGTAAATCATGTGCAGACGTGTACGGCCTATTGGCTTAAGCCGAATGAAGAGCCACATCCCAGATATTACCTGAGATTGTACTTTTATAGAAAATTATAAGAGCTCTGTAGTTTTTAAACCGGATTTGCTAAGAATAAAGTAGTTTAAAGTAGTTGGTGCCGATATGATGCATTTTTTCTATCTGTTTCCCCCGCACTGAGTTTAATTTCCTACAGACTAATGATTTGACAGTAAAGCCGAATATAACCTTGTAGCCCCTTACCACCATATATGGCCTATAACATAATTTCTCCCCGACAATGGATTTCAAAATGTAAAACAGAAATCAATCCGTGTTACATCTTACCAGGATGTATTAAAATGAAGTTTCTGCACGGAGGCCGCAAAAATTCACTCAAAAAGAAAGTAGAAAAGCACAGCGGTGCTTATTCAAACATAATCTGCACTGTTTTTCGATCGTCAATCATACAAAAAATCATGTAAAAACGTAACTGGAAAGTGCCAAAGTAGAGCACGAAGCAGGAGAGGAAGTAGGAAAGGGGTAGGGAGGGAGGGAAGAGGATATTGAGGACGCGCGGGGGGGTTGGGGGCTTAAATCTTTTTGACGGCAGGAAAGGAAGATGCCAATTTTATAAATTGTCACTTTAGGATTATGTATTTGTAGGATTACTGATAATATACAAAGTCAGCCCCTATCTCCAAGTTTAAAGAAGGACGTTTCATTATTAATGTACTAAAAAATCAATGTCTCGGTATTTTGTGAAGTAACAAGATGAGCTTTTTTTTTATTTTACATACTCTTTTTGACTCTCATTGACACCAAATGATTATGGATTGTTTTCATTCTGATCATCATTCTCATCACCATCACCATTATCATGACGAAAATCAACCAACCTTTTTCATTTTTCATAGCTTACCGCGTTTTCCAAAAACACACGAACTCTGAAGTTCAAAAGCTAACAACTGTTTGTGTTTTTCCCTGCCGTCAATCATCATCTTCACCGGACCTCTTAGCAAACAGAACTTTTCTTAAACGGGTTCAAAAGGTCATGGTTTGTGATCTGTGATTGGTGGATCTCTGGATCCGTTTTATGTGTTTCTGTGTTTCAAGGTTCGATGCTTGTGATCTTACTAGTAATAATGATAGACTGCAAAACAGTCGGGTTTTTTTTTTCTCAAAATCAGAGAGAAATCGGCAAAGCGTGGCGTACCGGAGTCTTACGCGCGCGAAGCGCGAGAGCCTTACACACCCGTAGGGTATGTGAGGCGTAATGTGAGGCGTCTCTCCCAGTCTCGCTCTCCGTTTTCAGCCTCGTTCCAGACCTTTTGTTTTACGACTCGCGCGTACTTTAAGACGCCAAAATACGGACTGTTATGCAGTCTATAATCAGAGAAGATTGGGCAGCAGTTCGCAAAGGATCATGGGGCGAATTATTAAGGAGCCCAGTTACAACGATACCGTCGAGCTAGAACGATCTCCGCGATTCACGCCCTTTTGCCGATGTTAGTCACAATTTTGCCAGAATTCAGAATATTTTGGCACAAAAAGTTTATTCCTTTAAAGATGTTATAAATTTCTCGCGGCAAAGTGGTCGAGATGCTTTTAAAACATGTTATTTGGCGTCGTCGAAAGTTAGCCGGGTTTACTAAGACATCTTGCAAGCAAAGCAAGCTGTGTCAACTATGCGCGTTCACCTTTCCAGACAGCGATGGTTATTGCGAATACACATTCCACTGATAGATTAAGAATTTGAATGATGGTCAACAATGTAATGGGCTAGACAAATGTCCCACAGATTTGAGATACAACTAGGTCTCGATCACTTAGCTTTAATTGATCAATGGTCCACTTGAGGTCATTCTTTGGATTGCTTATTTGAAATTTACAAGCTAAGTAAGCTTATACTCGATTCTTGAAGACCTTCTCAAGGACTGAAGTAATAAATGAAAGTGTATTATTGAACTGAATGAATGCTAGGTACATACAAGACAGCTTTGGCAAAAGTAAGTTTTTTTGGGACTGGACCACTAGGTACTTCAATTATAATTAGAGGTAAAACCCTGAGTAAATTCCTCATAAAAAAATTACATTACTTTTAGAGTTACGATATGGGCTACTGCAATAGAACAAAGTAAATCGCATGCATTCTCAAAGAATCCTACAGATATGAGATTCCCTCTCTTTCTCAGTATTACTATATATTTGAGTAATGACCACACTTCCATTTCAAGTGTAAAGGCTTGATTCTCTGATGTTTTGACTAATTAGCTATGATTACAATCAGAAAGCAAAAATTATACTGCGATTTTTAAATTGACCGTGGTACTACGAAAGTCAAAAAATAAAAAAGGTTTGCCAGTGATCAAACAATGCAGTCTTAAAAGAGAATAATGACCCGGTCACAAGGATTCATTCAAATTTTTCTACTTCCAGTCCACTCCTCACAACGTTCCTCCATTATTAGTATTCAATCGTCTCGTCCCGGTCGCGTTCAGTAAATTAAGCCGGGCCATCCGTCCTAGCGTCTCAAAAATGCCGCGACGATTTAACGGAATAACTACCGAGAAAGCAAAGAACAATAAGTATATCGTTTTGAGCGAATTGTGATCATAATGTACCGGTAGCCAGTGTAAAATAGCCACAGATGATAAAAAGCGATAAGCACGACTATTCAGAGCCCCTTTGTGACAACGCACAACTGACAGCAAGAGACAATGTATGCTATCTTGACATGAGTGCCTTTCAGGATCGCTTAGATTTTATCTTACGGGTACACTGTATATTTCTCGTAACCAGCCTAAGGGAGCATTTGATCGTCTCTGTACTCCTGAAGGTGAATACAAAGTAAGATCATTTCAAATCAGCTCTTCCGTCAAGATTTGGGGGCTAAACAGTAAAACGACGCTTTACACAATACAATATTGTCTACGACGATTTTAAAAATGTTGCTGTACACTGTGCATGCCTGGATAAGTGACTTCCAGAATCAGAACGGCACCCACTTATTTTTGGTTCGGATTTCAGTCAATCAAGCGCACCCTAAGTCATAGCAAGTAACCGCCGTTACTTCTTCGGTATTGACCCGATTCGCTTCAGCAGACTGAAACCAATCACCCGTTATGAATAAAAATAGGAAATTAACGGTTTTCCACCGTTTTGCATATTAACGTGTAAATTCGGGTTGTGTCTCACGGATCGGAAATCGGAGTTAAGAAAATAAAAACCAAAACAGTAGCGTTAATATTCTCATTCATCCGTACAATAAAGGCTGCTGGAAACTGGCGGACTAAGTCCTTCACTGAAACTCCAGCATTCCTGAAGAACTTTAACAATTCTCGTCGTGAAAAAGGAAACGTTATTGAGCTAGCTTGAAGGTCGATATTCTCCAGACCTTTGCTGACGTGACGACAGCACCATAACTGATACCCTTCAAAATTCATGTGTTGAATTAGATTCCCATTTCCCAAGATCTCTATTTTCTTAGATTATCTTTGAATGAAAGTTTATGCTAGAAGAAAACTTTCCTTTCTTTCTTCCAAAATGGACGGATCGAGTCAGGAACTATTGTAAATAATCATAGGATTTACCCGCTGGTTCAGATCAGTGTTCTTGTTTGTTGTTCAAGAAACCTCACTTCCCTTTCTGTAGAAATGCCGAAGAAGAACCCTTATGAATAATATTTCGCATGTTGATATAGGCAAAAAATAGACTTGTATGTATGAATTCTGCTGGTAAAAGGGGGTTTTCTTCCTACCGGTATATTAGTACTCAAGCCAAACCGAACAATGTACTAGGTAAGGTGGACTAAATCTGTGCCCTCGCACTTCTCTTTTTTCTAATATTTTTACTCAGCTGAAATTCAAGAAATGGAATTCAAATTCCTGATGATTGTCATAATGGCAGCAATGTGTCCGTTTAGAAACGAAGCGTCATCAACGACCTGTCCTCGCTGGGTGAAACTCAACAAGTCGCCTGTCTGCTTCGTCGCCAAGGGAGATGATTTTAGCCGTTTTTCCTACCCTAAAAACATCTTCGTGAGTTCGTTCATGCTCGTGCACCGCTCAGGAACTGTGACGTGTGACAAAAAACACTACAGCTGCTGGGGATGTGCTCCTGATGTAAACGTTTTTAGTGTCCTGTTGACCGATTAGAACAACAAGATACTGGCTCCAGAAGCAACACCACCTGTCGACAAGGCGGGATGGTACCATCTGGCAGGATACAGTTCTTCTTCCTCGGTCCTTGTGTTCTGTGCCAAAAAGAAGCCTTAATAGGGCCATTTATACGAGGAAAAATAAGACGCGTCTTACATAAGACGCGTCTTAAATAAGACGCGAACTGTACCATTTATACGAGCATGTCTTATCTAATAAGACGCGTCTTAGCTAAGTCGCGTCTTATTTTAGACCAAATGTGCCGTTTATACGGAAAGTTCGCGTCTTATTTAAGACGCGTCTTATGTAAGACGCGTCTTATTTTTCCTCGTATAAATGGCCCTACTGTGTCTTTGCTAACCGTGAGCTGCGTCTGTGGTATGGTGAAGATTTGCGCGCCCCTGATAGCGAGAGTGACAATGGGGGCACAACGTGCGCAGATGTGCACGGACAGCCGGCGTAAGACAACGAAGAGCAAGCTCCTAACCTGAAAATGTCATCGCTACAGAAAAAGTTGAGAGCTTTATTGTATTCAAACTGAATTATTTACAATAACTTAAAGTGAATCGACGTGGTTTATGTCACAGTTGTTTCCTCTAGCCTTTTTACTTTCTTCTATTATTTCCTGTTGCATGACATTTCTCTTTCTTTCCTACCCGCTTTATTCGTTTCTCTTCCCTAAATTTTTTTTCGTTGTAGACAGTTTTCCCGAATGCCCTGAGAATCATGAAATGACTTACAGATGGGAAGTGAAAAAATTATTTTCAGGGGGTTTTTTGGACAAATAATAAAGTTGCATGAGTTTTGTCATTTTTCTCTGGTCAGGCTTGTTTGACAGAACTTCGTTCGTTTGGGTATGGTTTTAAACGGATCTAGCCTACGAGTAATTAATCGCACCCTGCCCCCGAAGAAGGAACAACGACGGGATGTGTCAATATAATTTCATGATCTTCGGGGCTTAAGGAAATTATTTTTCTTGTTAGTATGCATAAAGGAAAAAAGAGCCACAGATTATAAAAAGCGATAACCGTAGGAGAAAAAGGGGAGCAATACGCACGCCTTTATCTACTCGTAAAACGCAAGACTCATCTGGGACCCGCTTCTTGAAAGACCCTGTAACTTTCCGGGCCCGAGGCCGAATATTGAAATCAAATCTACAGAATAAACTGGCGCGTATCTTAGCTTAAAAACAGTAGACATTTTATTTTGTTAGCTAATAGTTTTATCACATCACAATAGTCTTCTGGCTAGCTAATTATCGTGGCTTTCAAGAAATTGGCTCCAGGACTTGTAGAAGGGCCAGTTTTGTTTTCAGAATGGACTGGATTGTTTATTAATAAAAACGTTCCCCTTACGAAGTAATGTTTTCCGTGACCTGCTAAAATCAAAGCAAATAAACCATTATAACGTCTTCCTGTTTACTTAGTCAAGATTTACTTCAGAATAGAAAATGTCAACCGTGTTTATAAAAATATAGCGGTGACTTAGTTTGTCGCTTTACATATTTACGAGAAAATTCGAGTTGTGCCTCACTGAGGCAATTGGGATAAGCAAATAAAAACTAAAACATTAGCGCCCAGTGTCTCATTCATATGTGTTCAGGCAAATGAAAAAACGTTGCGGAGCATTTCGTTGAAACGCCAGCATTCAAGGAGCCTTTTAGAGTCGACTGAAAGGTACGATACTGTGACGTTCAATATTCAGCTTCAGCTGCAACGGCATGGCTACCACACATTTTTTTTATATTTTGTTGCCGATTATCCTTTGAGTCATATTCACGCTAAAAAAAACTGTCTTTGCTTTCTTTCAAAAACGTTCGGCTCGAGTGACGGACCAGATAAAAAATAGGATTGAAACGGTGGTTCAGTGCTTAAATTTACTCTTCATAAAAAAATTTATAAACCTAGTAAATATGAGTTCTAAGTAACAGAAGAGCCAGATAAAAATTCACATGCGCAGAAGCCAAAAAAAAGAATTAATACCCGATCAATGTTACGAAAAAAAATGTTTAAATGAAAATAATGTCCTTGTATTCATATTTTTCTAATTTATTCTTTTTTAACTTAAATTCAAGAAATGGAATTCAAATTTCTGATGTTTGCCATAATGTTGGCGATTTTTCCCATTCCTACTGAAGCGTCATCAAAGACCTGTCCTCACTGGGTGAAACTAAACAAGTCGCCCGTCTGCTTTGGCGCCAAGGGAAACCAGTTTGGTCGTTTTTCCTACCATCGAAACATCTTCGTGAGTTCGTTCATGCTCTTGCACCGCTCGGGAAAAGTGTCATGTAATAAACGCGCCTACAGTTACTGGGGATGCCAACCAAATCACGGAGCATTGATTGTGCTCCTGACTGATCAGAACAACAAGATACTTGCTCCAGAAGCGAAAACAGTTGATGGCAGTGGATGGTATAAACTGGCCGGATACAGCTCTTCCTCGTCAGTCCTGGTGTTCTGTGCCTCAAAGAAGCCTCAATGTGTGAAGATTTGCGTGCTGGTCGTGGTGATAGCGACAATGGGGGTAAAACGTGAGCGGATGTGTACGGACAGCTGGCTTAAGCCTGCGAAGCCTAATGCATGCACACAAGAAAATCTTCAGTCTGACATGCAGTACTGTAGCATGCATTTAAATGCAAATTGGTCACAATAAAATAAATCGAGGTGATAAATGTCGTATTTTTTTGTCCAAACTTTCCACTTTCTTTCATTATTTCCCTCTCCGCAATGCATTCCTCGCCACCCAGGGCGCTTTTCCTTTTGCTTTGGAGGTGGGGCGCCCGCCTCCAAAGCCAGGGAAAAGCGCGCTGAGGACGAGGTTGATTTCTCGCACAGCATGCAATATGGAATAAATGTTTGATGAAATACAAACAAAATTGACACGTGTTTTCAGACTCTCTCCTCTAGCCTGGATTGAACAGCATAATTTCTAGCACTGCTTTTGAATAATTCGCCAAACTACTTTATAAAAACTAAGTGAACTGACCATCAAATTCATGCGAAATAATATGAATGGGAAAAACTGAAAAAGCTTTCAATGGTTATGTGATCAGGTAAAGCCTGAAAAAACATGAATAATTTGAGAAATAGGACTGGTTCGGTTGTTCAGTGCTCCTTTATCGTAAAATTTATAGAAGATGAAAACAGTTGTTGAAAAAAAGTTGAGCTTTCTGTCCGTCAAGGGCCACCGTGAACTATATTCACGTCCTCGGATTTTCTCTTAACCCATTGCAATGGAATTCAAATTCCTGATGGTTACTTTGATGGTGGTGATGTCTTCGATGTCGTCTTCGCTGGGTGAAATTAAACAAAACGCCCGTCTGCTTTGGCACCAAGGGAAACCAGTTAGGCCGTTTTTCTCCTTACCATCGAAACATCTTCTTGAAGTTCCTTCATGTTCGTGCACCGCTCGGGCAAGGTGACGTGTAGCAAAAACGACTGCAGCTACTGGGGAAGTGTTCTTGATGCAAACGTTATTGGTGTTCTCATGAGAACAACAAGGTAATGGCTCCAGAAGCAACAACAGTTAACAGGGTGGATGGTACAATCTGGCGTGACTGGGTTGCCAAAGTTGTTTTTCTCCTACAAATTCTTCTAATTTTCGGCTGCCGTTGCAGTCGATAACTTTGAGATGAACGGCTAAGAATTTACAGGTTAATTTAGCAAATTTTAATATGCTCTTTCAGCTCGTGCTAGCAAAATTTTTCAAAAGCGAACTGTTTTTGTGTTCACCGAAAGTTGATCACGTGATCAATTAATGCAAAAGGCCTATTCCGACAGAAAGTACCCATCAAACTGAGCTTTAATCCACTGGGGCCTGTTCTTTATCCAAAATATACATTTTTTATAGAATTCCAAAATAAATTAGATTTATTGTTATTACCTTTTGGTTCAAGTACCTTATGTCTATGCCATGAATAAGCGCCCTTGCGCTTATTGAAAGAAAATTACCAGTTAGTTTCAAATTACCCTTTTTCCAAATTTACTAAATTCATCAAGAAACAAGTTTATAAGATGGAAAAGAAGCAATTCCCATGTATTACGTTACAACTTCGATTAGAATAAGGGCGCTCAATCACACTTATTATTTAGGTTCTCCTGTTGGTAATCAAGCGTACCGTAGGTCCATTATACAGTTTACACACAGAGTTATCAATAATTAATAACTTAGCAATAGAAACAGGTTTCTCCTTATATCCCTACTATTAAAGAAAGTGATGGAGGAGGGGAGGGGTGCTTGTTTGATATTTTGGCCCAGGGAGTTGGCCCTTATTCCGAGGGAGGACGCTTATTAGAGCGAGGACGTTTATTCGAGGAAATACCGTATGTTTCTGCGTCTTGAGAGTTCTCAGACTTTGCAATTGTAAACATTTCGGGAAGTATAATTAACCCTTTTGACAAAGTGGCAAAGGGGAGGTACCTATCACGCATCACGCTGATTTTTTTAAGTTATCACGCATCACGGAAAATTGATCTGAGGAAATCAGAGGTCAAGGAACGAGAAAAAAGGGCAAGAAGTTGTTGTCATAACTATCTATTTTTAATGTCTCTGCTTCTAGTTTCGAATGATATTTTTCAAAGGAAAATCATGCATCACGCTGCTATACCCGATCACGCCTCACGCGGCTAATTTGGGCCCGATCGCGCATCACGCTTAAAATTTGGGTCCCATCACGCATCACGGAAAACCCCTTCACCCTGTTTTGGGGTGCGACGCAGTAAAAGGTCGCGTGGCGACTGAGTATGACACTAGCGAAAAAGAAGGATAGTTTATAGAGTTAAATGAAAAATGTTGCCGTTTATCTAATAATCCTTCACTAAATCACCCAAAAGTGTAGTGAATAAAATCACAGTTTGTTAGCAAAATAACTTTGTTTTCGTTATTTAACTCAGTTCGGGTATGAAAAAATTCAGCTCCGACTGTATGAATGGAGTGGTCCAATGTATGTTCCACTGTGACGTTAATGCTGAGACAGTTGCATGATAGACCTTGTCACGGTTTTCGACGCCATCTTGACGAGTAGGCAAACCCGTGAGAAATTACAGTATTTGTATGAGAATCTAATGTCGAATCATTTCCGTGAAACGGCTGTTTTAAAAAAATATATGAACTGTAAACTAAGGCCCAGTTCATACGTCGTGCTTCTAACGTGCAGAACCTAATCAATATTGGGTTCGACAGACGCACGGCACAAGCACGACTTCAATTCAGACGTCGTGCCAGGGTCGAACTTAATTCAGGGTTCGCACAGTAGTCAGTACCGCGGTATCGGTGACGAAATGGCGCCGCACCGTAACCTCCGGCGTAAATTGCTACTTGTAAAACTCTTACAAAACTCGAGGAGGAGAAGGAAAAGAAATGCAGCAGAAAATCCTTTTCCTTTTGACCGTCAGGCGAATGTTATTATTAGAAGTTTTTTTTTTTCTGCTCTTCTTATTTCTTCCGAGAAAACCACTGCTGATC